GTGTGGGGAATAGTTCAGTGGATAAAGGCACTTGCCGACAAGCCTGATGGCAAGAGTTTGATCCCTGGAACTTCCATGGTGGAAGGACAGAGCTGACTCCTACAAGTTGTCCTTATACCTGAAACCTGCAACAGTAACTAAAGTTTTAAAAGCGTAGTTTGTCTACATTTTATCAAATGAGAATGTGTTGTTGATTTCTAATCTAGTATGTTCTGCATACAGGAAATATACAGCCAAATACATTATATCAAAACATTTTATCTCCAGTCTGCTAGAGGTTTTAACTCTCAATTCCGTATTTAAAAAAAAAAGTAAAATTGAACTTCCAAAAAATAAGGGGGGGGGGGCAAAGTTTAAAACCTTTTAGAACCAAAAAAGGATGTAAAATATACACAGTTAAGATTCTAAAGTTGTAGGGCTCAATAATATATCTATACTGTTGATCTCAATCTAATTGTACATTATAGTGATGGGGGATGTCCTTCTGTATGCTATGAATATATGTTTCTCTTATTGGTTGATGAATAAAGCTGTTTCAGGCAATGGACAAGCAGGATGTATAGGCAGGGTTATCAGATGAGGAGAATTCTGGGAAGAGGACAGAGAGGAGTCTCAAGGGAGATGCCATATTGCCGCCGAGGAAGAAGCCCGGGCATCACTGTTAAGCCAAGACCATGAGGAAATATACAGATTAATAGAAATGGTTTAATAATTAAAAGAGAGCTAGCCAATAAGAAGCCTGAGCCATCCACCAACCCGCTTATAACTAATATAAGCCTCTATGTGTTTATTTGGGACTAAATGGCTTCAGGACCAGGAGGGATAGAAACTTCGGTCTACATTATAGTTTTTATTTAGCACGAGTGTTTGTATGTGTGTATAATTGTGCTGCCATGGCATTTTTGTAGAATTGCTGTTTTTCTTTCATGATTTAAGTCTTAAGGACTAAACTTAGGTCATCAGATTAAACAATGTGTGATGGCTCCACGTTATGGTTTAGAGTGGTGCTTACATAGATTATGAGAGAAAGATATGCCAAAATGATGTATATAAGTGCTAATGGTGCATGTAATTACTCTCCCATCCACTAGCAGCTGAACCTAAGACTCAAGTATGCTAAAATATAGTCTACAACTGAGCTGTACAGCCATCCCTAGAAATTATACATCTTGTTTTTATTTCTACATACCATCTCAGCCAAAAGGCCAAGAAGTGATATTAATTTCCATTTCTGATGCTATTAACATTTAGAAACGCTGATAATATTGTGTATATAATTAAAAAAAACTGTTCAAATTAGCTTACCATGGTTGTGTGCATGTGTAATCACAACAGGAGGATCATGACTAGGAAGACACAGCTGCCAATACAGAGAAACCACATTAAAACTGGCGGGGGTGGGGGGGGAAGAGACTGGGGATGGGGGGGTAAGAGACTGGAGAGAGAGACTGGAGGGATGGCTCAGAGGTTGTGAGCGCTAGCTGCTCTTCCAGAGGTCCTGAGTTCAATTCCTAGCACCCACATGGTGGCTCACAACCATCTATGATCTGGTGCCCTCTTCCAGTGTGTGCATACAAAATAAATAAATAAGTCTTAAAAAAAAAGAAAAAGGGAAGGAAAATAATAACATATTTTTAAAGTTTCTATAGAATTTATTTCTAGTTTGCAGGGCCTGAGTCTAAAATCTTGGTACTTAAAAAAAAAACAAAAAACTTGGTACTTCTTACCAAAGGCACTGCTAATCTTTGCAGTATCAATTCTTTCAGAATTTGAAACCTTATTAAGTATCAGGGATGGAGATGGCTCAGGGGTTAAGAACACTGGCTGCTCTTCCAGGGGACTCAGGTTTTAACTCTAGTTTCAGGGGATCTGATGCCCTATTCTGGTCTTTGCAGGTACTTCTCACAGTGCACAGACATGCAGGCAAAAAACGTACACATATGGGCCATTTCTTCTATTCTGATAAGCAAGTATGAGGTCTGCTCCAAAACATGTCTATAGTGCAGCAGTTCAAACTCCCAGCTGTCTTGGGCTTGAGGACTAATGCCAGGATCAGAAGAATAAGGAAATATAGGAAATTTGGACACACACACACAATGAACAGACATACATACATGCAGGCAAAACGTCCATACACATAAAACAATAAATAAAAAAAATTTACTATGAAGGCAGTGTGGAATAGGGAAAAGTTATGTTTCTAAGAGATAGGCAACTACAGGCTAAAGATGAAGTTATGGCTTTCTCTGAGCTTCAAGCTTCTTCCTTGAAAAGTGAAGACACGATTATCTCAAAACGCTGTTGTAAGGATTAAACAGGAACACTTGCTCTTCCGGTATGGTATTCTATCTATGCTTTTCAATCTTGCACTTTCTTTCACTCCTTCCCTTCATCCCTTGCTGCTGTTCTGAGACAGGGTCTCATGTAACCCTGGCTGGCTAAGACCTTACTTTATAGCTGTGGATGACCTTTAAGTTCTGATTCTCCTGCCTACACCTCCCAAGCGTTGAGATCACAACCTTTCGATTGGCTAGTTCTAATATTTAAATATCTGACACTGATTTTAACACTTCCATTTACTTTGAAACAGACTATGAAAACTTATAAAGAAACAAGACAGTCTGCATGCATGGACACACAGGCCTGTACAAAGTTGCACACATGAAGCTATTAAGGAAGGATGAGTGTAAACCTAGTTGGGCTCCATTAATCAGCTAGAGCTTGGTTAACACGAGTAATTACACTGCAAGATAATTAAGGCTGATTTTTCTTTTTAATTCGAAGGAAACATGAAGACGACAAATCCTGACCCATACAGGTAATAGGGGAATGTTTGGTCATCTGAAAGCCAGGTGTGGGCTCATGCCTGAAATCCAACCACCAGGGAGCCCAAGACAGATTCTGGCTATCAGAGTCCCAGGCAAGCCTGGGCTAAGGAGACTGTCTCAAAAAACACTCAAAAGACACTCCATTGCCCACTACCCCCCAAAAAGACCGTTTGACTTTTAATTGAATAGGTTTTGGTGACGGATGGAATATAGTAATATTTAAAATGTCCCCAAATCACAAAAGTAAGAATTCCCAGATAGGAAGGGAAACTCAAGTAGATTTTTACTTTTTGTAGGAGACTAAAAATTGGTAGACCAAACGTTGGGATTTTAACATTCCATAGTTCTGAATTCAGTCATTAAATGTCAATGCAGTTTTGAGAAACAAATATTAGCAGCCAACGAATGTCATAGGTCTTGTTTAACCAACAGTTTGAATGAACACAATACAAACTACCAATTACACCTACGAGTCTTATCAACATCAACAGCGCGGTAAATGATAACAATATTCTGCATTTTCCCTGTGCCTCAGAGCGAAATCTACTTTACATACATTATCTCATTATTTCATACTCCAACCCTGGGGGCATATTTTGGGGTTAGTTAAATTTTACGCCCAGTGTCCCATAAGTAACTTAGAAGAATAACTCGAAGGTCACAAATGATCAAGTCCAGAAACAAATTCCGGGTGCATGGTTTCTTTAGCCTCTACACATCGTTTCTCAACCAGGGGTCGCGACCGCGTTGGGACTCGGATGCTATCAGGCATATCGCATATTTACATTTCTATTCATAACAGTAGCAACGAAAGGAATTTCATGGTTGGGTCACCACAACGTGAGAGCCGCATTCAAGGGTCGCAGCACTAGGAAGGTTGAGCACCTCACGTCAGGTTGCCGGGTGAAAACTGAGCATGCACAACCTTTGATAAGTGTGCAAGGAGCACACAAACACCGCAGAGGATAGGTAGGTACCCGCTTGAACTCAACTAAGCTAAATTGCGTTAACGTAAAAACAGACCTCCTTCTGCGCCAGTTCTCTCTCCGGTCCCAGGTCCGCAGCCCTGGGTCTGGAGGATGCCCTCTCTCTGCTGGCCTCACTCCCTACCTCGGGGCGGTTCGGATACACGCTCCTTTCCCTCCATCATCGCATCCCCAGTGCGGCTCAGTCCCCTCACCGTGAGTCTAGCACCAACCAGGACTCCTGCCGCGGCGA